ATTTTACCTAAAAATTAATGCTACAAAATTTTAATATATATATAATATTATAAAGTAGCTCGTAGCATAGTGCCTAAGGCACTTGACTGCTAACCAGAAGGCTGGCCCAAGGAGGGGTTGCTATAAGTTGGGTCCAACTCTACGGCACATAACAACAATATTCTATACATGGGTGGTCTGGTGGCATAGTGCCTAAGGCACCAGCCACTCCTCAGAAAGAAGATTGACAATCTGCTTCCGTAGTGATATCGCTATGAATCAGATCCAACTTGAAGGCAGTGAGTTTGGTTTTTATTTATTCTATACATGCGGAGACAATGAATTGCACCCTAGGTACTGCACATGTTTAACTCACTCAGCTACTAATCAAAAGGTGGAAGATTCAATTCCACCCAGAGGTGCTTCTAAAGAAAGACCTTAGTGATCTATTTCCAAAAAATCAGCCATTAAAAACCCTAGACATCTCTGGCAAACATAGGGTTGCTATGAGTTGTAATCAGCTCTACAGCATCTGTGTGTTTATGTGTGTTTTCCCCTTCTATACGCCCAGCATTTAGAATGGAAGAATTCTATATAGGCAAGTATAACATGTGTGACACATGGCAGATGAATGTTACAGAGAAGGGAGTAGAAACTTAAGCATTAACTTTTCTTGATAAATCACTGTACTGAATAAGCCTCAAAGACTTGCTGACACAGAACTAAGAACACTGCAAGGAAAATGCCCTATTGTTCCTTTAGGAGCAAGATTTTAGCTTGTTTTCAGATAGATGGACATTCTAGAGAAGGAAGTTGTAGGAAAAAGAAGAAGAAAAGCAGGCAAGAAGATATTTTCTATAATTAGAAAATTATAGACATCGATTTCTATAATTAGAACTTATGACATTGATAACAACTGCCTAAAGACTGAGTTTAAGAACTTAAGAACCCAAAAAAAGTATCCACATAAAGAAGATATGGCCAAGGTGAATCTTATTTTGACATATTGAGGTAATCTGTTTAATTTTTCAAACAATTGAATGCCAGTGAATACTTTGAATGTCTCTTTTCTTTTAGATGCAAGTGAAACTGGTGAGAGATTCAGAATACCCATTTAAAGCACAAAATGGCCTGTGCCAATATTTTTCTGCTTCACATTCCGGATTTTCAGTCAAAGGTTATTCTGCATATGACTACAGGTAAATGTCTTTTTCTGTTTTTTTTTTTTTTTTCTCTGTATTCTTTAACTTATGATCTAGTGACTGTTCAGAACTAATAACATGATTGAAGGCATTACTTCATGCTCTTAATTTTTTAAAACATGCTTTTTACTGGACAAAGTAATTGGCAATCACAATGAGATGTTATAGGTATTGTTTCTTGAATACAATCAACTTTTCCATACCTAATTACCACAGAAATAACAATTTTAAATTGAGACACTTAAATTCAGTTTAAGAAGCTTGGTGGCACAATGTTTAAGAGCTCTGTTGCTAACTAAAATTGCTGGTTTGCACCTACCAGTGAATCTGCAAGGGGAAAAGACTTGGTGATCTGCTTCCATAGAAATTGCAGCCTGGGAAACCCTATGGAGCAGTTCTGCTTTGTCTGATAGGGTCATTATGAGTCAGAATACTCATCAGCACACAAGAGCAAATTCAATTTCGGGTATAATTTTAATTACCACTTTACTTTTATCAGTTATAAGCATTATAATACCAGTAGCATGTTTCATTTTACTGCTGAAGCAATCCAATATTGCTTTGTTTTAATATTAAGCAAGCAATGTACCTATAAGTACTTTTGAACACTTTCAGTGTCCCCTGCAATTTTCAAGCCACAGGCTATAATAATAACATAAACTAAAACTTTCAGATTAGGAATAATTAGGGCAAATAGGTCACTGAAAATAAATTATGTAGCCTGCACTCTAAGCATGATAAAAGTCACAATATATATATATTTTTAAGGTGCATAGATAAAGATAGGATGAGTGAGAAGACTTATGTTGAAACTTGAAGGGCAGGTTAACTTTGGATAGATTCTGGGGAAAACAATCCTTAAAAAAAAAATGCTTCAAAAACGAAATACCAGCTAGAGAATCGTTGTGAAACTCAACCAACTCTTAGTTTCAATTTTTCTTAAGAAATATAAGAGCAAACTTCACATCCCAAAGCTAAAACAAAGAAAACAGAAACATAATTAAATTTGGATAAGTTGACAGAATGAACCATAGCTTACTTATACTGACTTATAAAAGAATCTCTTGATCCAGATGGTATCTACCCATGGGATCTAAAGGAAACCAAGGGTGAAATTGGATCTTTGAAAAAATATAACCTCTCTAAATAAACATCAATGTGCCAGAGGACACAACTGCTATCCATAACAAGGGTGACCCTGGGAAGTATATACCAGTGAGCTTCAATTCCACACATCACAGTCTACCTAGGATGTCTAATGAAATGTGCTGGGTCACTGAACACATTGCCAACACCTCCTTTAGGGGTAAAGACAGCACACTTTCTAAAATGAGAAATCATGCTTTTGCAAGTCATAAATTCCTTGAGAATACAGTTAGTCCCTGACTTAACGACAGAGTTCTGTACCAATAACTACATTTTAAGTTGATTCTGACATAGGTAGAATAACTTTTTGTGTTTTTTTAGTTTTCCCCATAATTGCCTTTTATTATCAGTATCTTCCTAAATCTGATCTTTATTTTTTTTGAGGGGCGGTAGGTAGGGTTGGTATGAGAATGAAAACAACAGCAAATTACATGCTGCCACATTGTATTTAGTATATATTAATAATGATAAGATATAAAAAAGGAAAAATGAATGGTCATATTTGCAGTTTCTTATAGATCAAATACTTTGTTAGTCAGGGACTACCTTATAAGGAAAATGTGTGGACAAGAAGGACTGCATTTTGAAAATGTAATTAAAAGGTGTTTAGAAAATCTCTTGTCATGGTAGCAAGTTGAAAACTTAGATGCAAAAAAATAGTCTATATTTGAGAGTGTGTGTGGGGATACAAGAGAGAGAGGAGAGAATCTAAGAGTCATTGGTATTGAGCCTTAAACAGAATCTGTCCAACCTTTTGATTAAGAAGGAAGAAGTCCAATAACAATCTCAACACTTATTGTGAACAATAGGCTTTTCTGGCTAGCATAATGTTTAACTGTTTTGTATTAGACACTGAAGGAAGATCTTTCCTTACTTTATTCATTCATTCAGATATTTATTTAATACTGTTTTTGGTTCAGGTTATTGAGCAGTGAACAAAAGGGACAAAAATTTCTGCCCTCATGAACTACATTTTAGTGAGAAAGACAGACAGTAGTCAAAACAAAATATATATGGTATGGTAGAAACAATCTTTCTAAAAAGAACCAATAAAATAGTGGGAGAATCAGAAATACCTTGAGAAAGGGACACATAAAATTTCTGAAAGGGTTACTGTGGAGGAACTCACTGAGGAGGTGAAGATATGAAGGAACTTAGATATCCGGAGAAAAACTGTTTCAAGCAGAGGAATCTGTAAGTGCAAATTCCCTGAGGCAGAAACATATGTGTATGCTTGAAAAACAATAATTAATAATGTGACTGCAGGGGAGAGAAGAAGGTTGAAATTATCAGGAGATAAGGAGACATTACCAGTTATTGACTTGAGAAGAGGGTCAGTTCATATCAGGCCTTGCAGGTTATAGGAATATCATTGTTTCTTATTTTAAATGAGATGTAAAACCATTGAAAAGTTTTGGGCAGAGAAATGACATGGTCTAACATTTTAATAAAATCACTTTGGCTTCCACAAAGAGAGCAGAAAGAACAGGGAAAAGATAAGAGCATGGTGACCAGTTAGGAGTGGGGTTGCCAGCTTTAGCAAATAAAAATAAAAATTGTAGTTCAGAAAAACAAGAGAAAGAGAGAGAGAAAGAAAGAAAGAGCTCTGAGGTTAAGGCATTCAGCTGCTACCAAAAGGTCAACAATTCAAACCCACCAGCCACTCCACGGGAAAAAGATAAGGCATACTGCTTCCGTAAACATTTACAGCCTTGGAAACCATATGGGGTAGTTCTAATCTGTCCTAAAGAGTCAGTATTAGTTGGAATCAACTTGATGGCAGGGTTTTTTTCATATATGTATATTTGTGTGTAAGTGTGTGTGTGTGTGCATGTGTGTAGGTAGTCCCAAATATATGTTTATTCCAAATATTGCATAAGACATAAATTTGAAGCACAGTGGAAATTATAGAGGAAAACAGAAACAACTCTACTAGTTCCAAGTGAAAGGATTCAACACAGGGAATGATATGGCCAGAAGTTAGAAGATGAAATGCCTTCTAGAGGTATTCTAAAGCAATTCTGAAATTAATAATTAGAAGAAATAACTATCACCCCTCTCACTGCCGATTTTGACTCATAGCAACCCCCACTGGGTTACCAAGGGAGTAAATCTTTACAGAAGTAAATTGTCCTATCTTCCCTCCACTGAGCAGCTGGTAGGTTTGAACCACCAACCTTCTGGCTAACAGTCAAATACCTTAGACACTGCAACACCAGAGCTTCTTACTATAACCCCTAGAGCAAGGTGAAAGAAAAGAATGAGAAGACATTAAAACATAGGAGTTCAGCATAGTGTCCCTGTGGGCCTGGTGCTTAGACTTCTGAGAAAGGGACTTTCTGTAGCTAATGCTTAGACCTCCATAGAGGGATAATAGGGGTACCAAGAGAATCTGAGTCTGGGGCTGTTGTTGTTGTTGTTATGTGCCATGGAGTTGGACCCAACTCATAGCGACCCCTCCTTGGGGTTCCAAGGCAGTATCACTAGGAAAGTAGATTGCCCAACTTGCTTCTGAGGAGTGGCTGGTGGGTTTGAACCGCCAGCCTTCTGGTTAGCAGTCAAGTGCCTTAGGCACTATGTCACCAGAGCTTCTGAGGCTGGGGCTAGCTCTTAGTATACTGGAGGAACAATGACAGGAATTGAAAAGCAGGAAGTCCCTTCTCTCCTCTTTATACCTTTCAACATCCCTTTAGAGCCTCCAATTGCCATATAGTCAGAAACTTTATGCAAAGGAGTTAGAAAATACAAGTTGTATGTCTAAGTCAAAATACCAAAATATAGATTATTAGGACAATATCCTTTGAGATGACAAACAATATATAATATCCATCTCAGAGGGTAGAGCCCCTCAGAATATACTAAAGGCTTTATATAAAGGGTAAAAGAGAGGAGCGTCAACTGTAACTCCAGGCTTTTAGGTCTTAACTAAAAGAATGGATTTACCATTAACTGAGAGGTGGAAGACTTGGAGGGAATATCAAGAGCTCTGTTGAGGCATGGAGGAAGTGATCTCAGTTAACATTGGTAAAGGAATGAGGAAGTGAGAACAGGGAAAGAAGGATTTCATATTACATAAGTTAGCATTGGCAGTAACTTTGACCTTAATCCTAGTGGGATGCTCTGGGATCCAGTGTGAAATATGCACTTCAAAATTATCCCATGCAAGGTAGTGTTCATCATCTCCTATGATTATTACTCAAGGTTGCATCTGGGGTCGGGGTGTGGGGTAAGCAGTGATTCCCTGGAACTTTGCAGGGAAAAGTGCTCAGGTGGAAAAGTGAAAGACTCATCCTAGGCAGCTGAGCTGATGTGCATTGCAGTGGTAAAGGGAGAGCACATGGGAAGGTCTTTCCCAGCATCTTTTATATCTAGGCACTGTATCAGGTACCTAGTACTTTAAAAATCCCATCTACATAGCCTAAGATTCAGAGAAGGTTACACAGCCATTATACTGGAGGACCAGATTAGAAGTCATTATCCTCCATACATTTTACCTGCCTCTACTCTGAAAGGTGTAATAGTTTTTAAATGTCCTCTGAAATTATCTCAAGGCACAGCCATCTGCCAAAAATTCTATACAAACATTGTGCAGAACCAGCAAAGATCTAGGAGATAATGTACACTAAAGCATAATCTAGTCTTAAAGAAAAATGGCACGCAGGCTTTTTCATGCATTTTTGCTTGGCAGACCCCAGGAAAGACCTGACAGAACTCAAAATATAATACAACAATGACGATAAAATTAGACAAAAAGAGAAGCAACTATTACTACATAAAACAATGGCCTGAAAAATTAGCACACAATATAACACACTGAATTATAAGGAATATGGGACAGAAGTGGACATGATTGAGTATCTATACCAGTAAGACTTGCCTTAATCACCAAATTTTGGTGAAAATAAAATTTAGGAAAATTCTTCAAAGACTATAGTGTTTTGTGTATCATTGCTGTGTAAAGTGAATAGCAAGCTCATGGAACCAAGATTTGATACTATCTCCATTATCAACAATGTGCATTTTGATAGTAGTTTTACAGTGGACTAATAATGGAAATAGAGATGCTGTTTGGAATACATTTTAAGTTGCTGATGGTCCATACCTTTCTGAAAGGCAATTGATAACAATGGCATTCAGTTTGGGAGCTACATGGAACATTTGTGTGGCTGGTTCTTACTATCATGTGTTCACATGTCTTATTTTTCAATATCACTGATATGTTTTCTATAGCTTACCTCAAAGCAGGGATAATTACTAAGTTATTTCTTTGATCTTACAGTGTTAACCCATTGCCATTGAGTTGATTACAAGTCATAGTGACCCTGTAGGACAGAGTAGAACTGCTCTGTGTGGTTTCCAGTGCTGTACATCTTTATAGAAGCAGACTGTCTCATCTTTCTCCAGAGGAATGACTGATTTTGAGCCACCAACCTTTTGATTAGCAACCAGATGCATTAACCACTGCACCACCAGCATGGCCTTCCTACAATGTTAATAACACTTTATTTTCTTAAACAATAAAAGTAAAAATATTTACCCCTTGATTTCTCTCCTTCTTTCCTGCTTTCTCCTGTAACTGAGTCATTGATGTGATGTATTTTACCATATATCTTTTGTTGTCTTAAATAGGCGGAGGTAACTGTGTTCAAGTTAAAATGGAGATGATCATATAAATTGTATTTGGATTACAAGATATTCAAATAATTTGAATATGATAAACTATACTATAGACACTGAAACTTAAGCTAGACAAAATTAATTTGTTAAATGACTTAGAAATGAGGAAGAAAACAGTGGTTGTTGTAAAGTTGGAGTAGAACTCAAGTACTAGACACAATGCACAATTTATACTGTAATTATAGAATCTTATACTGATTCCACAAAGTAGGTGGGATAACTCTAGTGTACAAACCAAAAAAAAACCAAACTCACTGTGCTGCAATGGAGTTGGATCCAACTCATAGCAACCCCTCCTTGGGTTTCCGAGGCAGGATCACTATGGGAGTAGATTGCCCCACCTTCCTTCCGAGGAGAAGCTGGTGGATTTGAACCTCTAGCCTTCTGGTTAGCCGTCAAATGCCTTAGGCACTATGCTACCATACCCAGGTATGCAGAACTTCAAGTCCTTAAGTGGTGTAAAGAGGCTATTCTGGACTACTAACCTAAAGGTTGGCAGTTTGAATATTCCCAGAAGCACTAAGGAAGAAAATTCTGGCAATCTACTTCTGTGACAATGACAGACAAGAGTTCTACTCCGTAACAAAAGAAGGCACTGTGAATCAGACTCAACTCCACAGCCATGTACTTTGTTTTGTTTTGTTTTTTTTAAAACACAAAACTTAAAGCCTATAACCTACCATCATGACTTCTAAGAATTTTATATTTTTATCTTGTATCAAGACAATCTTAATGAATATGGATCATTAATATAGTATAAAAATTCAGAAATGCTTGCTTATAGATTTATGAAAAACAGAGTTTAACAGGTAGTATGAATAAATATGTAAAATCTATGTACTGTTTCTATTGCAGTGTATGCAGTTCTTTCTTGATCTGTGAACAAAGTATTCCCTTCAGAGAAACTGGTCTCCTGCTGGGCATGATGAGTGATTATTTACTCTTTCCAGCCACTAATCCACTCGTAGCTTGCTGCAGCAATAAACTACCAAATGCTATCTGAATAATGGCCTGAAATATCAGCAACTTATTTGCAATATCCTTAAACCACAAAGATGACCTTTAAAAAATGTAAATAGTGGTTTAAGCATATACTATTAAGGTGGAAAAGGAGACCTGGTGGCAAATGATTAAGCCTTCAGTTGCCAACAGAAAGGTTATCAGTTCAAATCTAGCAGTTAGTCTGTTGGAAGAAGATGTGGCAATCTTTGTCTATACAGATTACATCCCCCTGTGGGGCAGTATTACTCTGTCCTGTAGGCTCACTATGAGTCAGAACTACTGGTCAGAAATGGATATAAAGATGACGAAGACCAAGCATTATATAACATAAGACATTATCAATAAATGTCCGTGTATGAAAGCAAAAACTGTGCTTTGCATTTTTGAAAATCTGGCATCTAGTTCTTGCAGTTTAACATTTCTTCTGTCAGATGATAATGTTAACCATTTTTAGGTAATCTGTCCATATAATTTCTATATTTGACATTCACTAAAATAAACTAGTGATCTCTTGATTCTCACATGGTATGACAGAGATGACAAGAGACTTCCAAATATCCAGTTTTTCTTCTTTCCTTGTCAACATAATCTTTACATTTTAGCTGGAACCTTTGCAGCTACACAACTTCATTTCCCATCTTCCTTGAAGCTAGATTAGCCATGTGACTGAGTTCTGGCCAGTCAGATCTATGCAGATATATGCAGAAGTATTGTGTGCTACATCTGAGAAATCTTTTCAACAAGAGTATAGCACTTCTTCTTTCCTACTACTTGCTGTCTGAAATATGTATCAAATGGCTGGAGCACCAGCAGTCATCATGGATCATGAGTGAATAGAAACTTCACATAGCAGAACAATAATATAGGAAGAGTCTTCATTCCTGACATCCTTGAGCCTCATACTAGTGAACTGCCAATAGCCAAGATTTCTTTTAACCTCTGTTTTTTACTTGTTTTGTAATTTCAGTCAAACCTTCTCCTAACCATATACAGATTTAACAGCTTAGTTTTTTACTAGTTTGCTTAAAAATCAAACTACTTAACCAAATATTTCCTTTTTCGGTAGTGACCAAGAAGATGAAATGGCAAAAGCACTCCTTGCCTTTGGCCCTTTGATAGTGATAGTAGATGCTGTGAGCTGGCAGGATTATCTGGGGGGGATAATACAGCATCACTGCTCTAGTGGAGAAGCAAATCATGCAGTTCTCATAACTGGGTTTGATAAAACAGGTAAGTGATGATTGCTTTCCAACTTGAACTCTAATAGTTAATGATCACCATTTTCTTAGAATGTTGAAAGTTAGTCCTTCCCAACTTCTTGGTAGACATGTAGGTATTAGTACCATGCAAAATTAGATCTATAAATTTTAGATAACCAGGTTAAAATGATGATGATTCTTGTTTAAAATATATGTATTTTCCATCTGAATTGTTTAGGGTATTTATTGGAAACAATACTTATAATATTACCATACATTTCTAGAATTGTTTTTCTTAATTCTGTAGAAATGTGTGTCTATTTTCATTTTATGCAGTGCCTATATAAAAGGAAATTAATTTAGAGGTTCTGGTAAGATGGCAGAATAGGCAGAAAGACTGCACAGACCCTCTTCAACAAAGAAAAGGGGAAACAATTAACACAGATACAGAAGATAATCCTGGACCCTGAGCCTTGAAGGGGAGGATATAGGAATGGACTAAACTCTAACTAGCAGAAGAATTTGCATGAAAACACCAAAAAAGGAGACTTATGGAGCTGTGGTCTGGCAGCAATCCTGACAGCACAGATAACTTGGATATTGCCGAATGGTGAAAGGTCCTAAGAATTAACCTAAAAATCAGCCCTGCTAGCCAGGGACTGCACAGAGGACTGCTGTGCTGGCTAGTGAATACAAGGGGAAGCAGCAAAGAGGAAGGTGGGCTAGGCTGTGGACTTTTGCTTGTCCAAAGGGTGCAGCCATTTTGAATGTTTACAAGCAGTTTGACCATTTTGGATATTTAAAGCAACAGCATTTTTGCAGATTCCAGGGAGTTAAGAACAGGCTCCACTTGCTGGGAACCTCAAGGACATTCTGGATGCA